ATGGCTTGAAGCTATTACATGGTAGTATGGCTTGAAGTTATTACATAGTAGTATGGCTTGAAGCTATTACATAGTAGTATGGCTTGAAGCTATTACATAGTAGTATGGCTTGAAGCTATTAGATAGTAGTAGTATGACAATGCAATTTGAAAAAACATGCACGACAAAAACATAATTGTACTGACGAACAGGGACGTAGCGATGGGGGGAGGGGGAGTAGGGGGTGGATTCTTTCTGATTTTAAGATGCAAATATATTATAACAACATTGACTGGCAAACGCTGAAGATAAGAGCGAATTATGCAAGCTAAGAATGTTCAAATTTTAGCCAGTTGCATTTCAGGGTTTTCTGAGTGTCTAAATATTAAAAAAAAACAAATTCCTCTAGTAGACGTAATCCCGTATATCCCATTCCCATTGTGCTAACATATTCTTTTGAAAAAAACACCTGCCATACTTGAACGTACTCATGAAAACACCGCACGAAGTTTCGACTACAGCTTTTAGCTAATGTGAAAAGTAATTTTAAAAATCAGCCCCAATGGCAAGTGCAATTTAAGTCTTTGAAAAACTCATGCGGTATGTATATATACGTGTATGTTCTTCAAAAAATGTATGTGTATGTTTAGACATCTGGAGCTATTTGTGTAAAAAGATAAAGAAAAACTGAATAAATTGTAAATAGAATTGAAAATAAATAAAACCGCGTAAACGGCCAGAAAAACTCTCTTAAATTTTTTGAGAAATTTGATAGAATTTCATGTGATGAATAATGAACATGTATATATAAAGAACATTGAGTGACATAGCAAAAATTAAATCCTGCATGATATGATGTCTTAGGTACCTGCTGTTCAGAAATGCAAATGATTTTAATTTTATGATGCAAATAGCTACAGTGAACGCTTGGTTTAAGCGACGTCTTGCTGAATTTATTTTGTCACATGCATTTGCATTCAGTACAGCGCCAAGGAGTTCTACCGCCATTGGCATTGCCAATTGGTATAAGTGTTTCATTCGAAGTACACTTAAAAGATCTTCGACTTGGGAGCTACAAAGTTCTCTAACGTGTGAAACGTATTTTATTAAAGACTTTGCAACTACAACAGTTGAGATAAGTCAAATCTTACAGGCATTAGTCATTAGATATATAAAAGTAACTAAGATATCACAAGCTCCGTATTATGTTTGCATTCAATAGGTAAGATTAATTACATTTATAGTATATAAATATCTATAAAACTTAGAACTAAGTATCTATACTATCTAGATATAAATATTATACAACTGCATGTTCAACAGTTCCGATGGAATATAGGAATTTTTCAGCATAAGAATGACCTTGAATTTACTATATAAATTGTTAAACATGTTGTGTCCTAATCCTAACCCTTATATAATCTTAATCTAACTCTAATCTAATCTTTATCTGACACTAATCTAAACTTGAAAAATCTGTTCAGAATTTCTAAAGGATCTCCTAGAAATGGCTTTCTATATTGTGTGAGTGCCCTTGAGTGCATCATGCATGCCCTCTATATTTAATTATATTTTTATCATACTGCCAAGTTCCATATATTAATATACACTGTATTCAGTAATGTATGTTCTGTGTATTTATTTATTCCAGTATGGAGGAATATCTAGAGCAAGTTCGCCAAAGGCATAGCGACCCAATTCTAGAAACAGAAGCTAGAAAGATTTTGGAGGGTAAAGCAAATGGTCAGCAATGTTATTTCTGCGTTTCAACTACAAAATCGTCAGACGTGCTAATCGTAATAGAAGGTCACAGAAAAGAATTTCCACATAATAAGACCATTTCTGCCAATCAGTTGAGTCCATGGCTGGTCGCTGGTTATCGACCAAGTCAGCCTGACATTCAAGCAGTAGGGGGTATATGTGCTTTTTCTGTGTATAATTGGAATGGAAACGGTTGGAAGGGGCCATTAGACGTCGTTGCGAACGAGCAAGGCCAGCAAGTTGTTTATGCCACCGAAGACCAAACGGTTTTGGTCGATCTTGGTGATCGGACCATGAAGATTGAAGTTACCGCTGTGCGTGGCATCTCCTACATGTCGCATATTTTTACAATCGAGAGCAGCTGGAGTATAGTAATGGATTCAGAGCCTAGAACTTCGCGTCAGTGTTGTTATTCAACAAACTACAATGGATACCATTCTACGAAGAAGCAAAGATTGCCAAACGTTTCACTGTTCATAACCGCATCCAAAATACTTATTTGATGAAAAGTTAAAAAAAATTGCGAAATTCATAAGTTAACAGAAATACCCGTTATTCTAACTATAATTTCATTCGCTTTAAGTATAAACGCGTGAATGAGGGCGGCAAGACGTTTCGTGTTATACAGCTCTGCTGTGTTTATCTCTAGCGTTATAAGAAAGAAACACATTATTTATATTTTCTTAAACAAATCATGAATGCCGCCAGACAGTCGACAGTCGTCCTTATATTATTTTAAATGAAGTTATGCAATAACCAAGGTTAGCAACTTGGTAACCAGGTGTCTTGACGTCAGCATGTCACATGATCGGGGGGATGGCGCAGTGGGTTTAGGTGACACCCCATGGTGACTCTATCATTCGAAGTCTGACGTCCAAACGACAACGTGCGTTTTGAATTTTTTTGCACGCTTACCTCAACCGCTTTCCATTTGCAGTCCAGTTTAAAATTTTATTTCCACCAATTTTAACTGGTGTGAAGGTGTTAGTTCGGTGGGGGTGGCAACTCAAGATGCCATTGTCATGGATTGAATTTAATCTGAATCCAAGTAACAGTAGTCAGTCCAGGTCACCCCCTCGCCTAACAGGTCACACCCTCGCCCCTCGCCAGGTCACCTAACACCTAACCAACCAAATGGGCAAGTATAGAGACAAGGTGTTAACCCATTATAAATGTACAAAAATTATACTCGAAATTTCTATCTACAAATCCATTCAACAATTAGTTTCTATCGAGTGAGATGTAAAAAAAATCTTGTGATATGATGTTTATTTCAACTGCCTGCTGTTTATTATATATTAAGTTTATGCAAAATAGCCGTAGTGGTCTGCCAGCCAGTGGACGCCTTTGTTTAAGGTGATTCATCAGTAATTGTTCTGGAAGAAATAAGAAATTGTCAGGGCCGCCGAGAGGTTGGCGGGGGCCCGGGGCAAATTTTTTTTTAGGGGGCCCTATCTAAAAAAATTTTTGCGGAAAAAATTTTTCCCGGAGAACAACCTCCCCCCCCCAAAAAAAAATTTTTCGGTCAGTGTACCATTTTAGGGGTAAAATTTTTTTTCCGGAGTAAAAAAATTTTCCGGACGAGTACGTTGCAATTGCTTTCGAGGGACTTTATCTCATTTTTTTATGCCAAATATCGGTACTTAGCCCAAGAAAACAGATATCTTGTCCTTTGCGCGGAAATACTTAACACACAAAAAAGGCTGGGGCCCAACAAAAATTTTTCAGGGGCCCCCAGCAACTCGGGGCCCGGGGCAATTTGCCCCCCCCCTGCCCTCCTCTGGGCGGCCCTGTTCGTGCATCACTAGACAGTCCATGAAGATAAAAAGCAGGTTATTCCAGCTGCATATTTAAATCGAAAAAGACGTGAAAGTTAATATTATGCGGTTTGGAACCTGATGTTATATTGAATTTCAAGGCCCTTGTAGCAGAGACTTGAATTTGGGCCAGCCTCAAAATTGTATTTCTGAAATCTACGATCCATAAGCTTTCTGTCGATGCCTCATTCGTGCATCACTAGACCGGACGTGGAGATAAAAAGCAGTTTTTTCCAGCTGTGTAATCGAAAAAGACGATAAATTAAAGTTAGTATTATATAAGTGAGGGTTAGGGTTTGGGCTGTTTCGAATCTGATGTTCTATTGAATATCAAGGTCCTTGTAGCGGAAACGTGAATTTATCACGGTCTGAAAATTGTATTTTTAGAATCTACGGTCCATAGGCTTTCTATCGATGCCTTACACGTATATCAAAAGACAGTCCGTGAAGAAAAAAAGCAGCTTATTCCAGGAGCATAATCGAAAAAGACGTGAAATTAATATTATGCGGTTTCGAACCTGATGTTCTATTGACTTTCAAGGCCCTTGTAGCAGAGACTTGAATTTGGGCCAGCCTGAAAATTGTATTTCTGAAATCGACGAGCCATAAGCTTTCTGGCGATGCCTCATTCGTGGATCACTAGGCCGGACGTGGAGATAAAAAGCAGTTTTTTCCAGCTGTGTAATCGAAAAAAAACGTGAAAGTTAGTATTATATAAGTGAGGGTTAGGGTTTGGGCTGTTTCAAATCTGATGTTCTATATTGAATTTCAAGGTCCCTGTAGCGGAAACGTGAATTTGTCACGGTCTGAAAATTGTATTTTTAGAATCTACGGTCCATAAGCTTTCTATCGATGCCTTATTCGTGTAACAAAAGACAGTCCATGAAGATAAAAAGCAGGTTATTCCAGGTGCATAATCGAAAAAGACGTGAAAGTTAATATTATGCGGTTTCGAACCTTGCGTTCTATTGATTTTCAAGGCCTCTGCAGCAGAAACTGGAATTTGTCACGGTCTGATAATTGTATTTTTAGAATCTACGGTCCATAAGCCTTCTAACGATGCCTTACACGTATATCAATAGACAGTCCATGAAGAAAAAAAGCAGGTTATTGCAGGAGCATAATCGAAAAAGACGTGAAAGTTAATATTATGCGGTTTGGAACCTGATGTTATATTGATTTCAAGGCCCTTGTAGCAGAGACTTGAATTTGGGCCAGCCTCAAAATTGTATTTCTGAAATCTACGATCCATAAGCTTTCTGTCGATGCCTCATTCGTGCATCACTAGGCCGGACGTGGAGATAAACAGCAGTTTTTTCCAGCTGTGTAATCGAAAAAGACGATAAAGTTAGTATAAATGTAGGTTAAAAGCCAAGGGAGAGGTTTTCATTAAACTGTGAAGACCGAGGGCCGAAGGCCCGAGGTCTTTACAGTTTAATAAAAACCGATACCCGCGGCTTTTAACTTGTTTATATACTCATCAGACCATATTCTTTTGAATTTTGGAGGTTTTCTTCATTAAAAATTCAAGCTATATTAATTCAATGAGAGGTCGCTGCAGTTGTGGGACGAAATAACTAGGTGTAACATGCGCATTAACACGCTTTAAAATGTGGTTAAGCATGCGCAGTATATCATTTCACGTCCCACAAGCAAAAGAGCAGATATTACTGTATAAATTCCCTGCACAAGCGTGTTTGATGGTTGATCTAGCTAGTCCTCGTGCGCCGAATGATAGATACTCTTACCTAATGGTAGAGTTTTGACGGGCTCTGAGGTACACGGCTGTTGTTGTCTCTTTCTCGACTTAGAGACGTGCAACGTTTTCTAGTCGAAAAGGAGATGTGGGTCTTGAGTTTTCCTGCAAATTCAAGTCCCGAATTCAAGACTCATGCCAGGTCTTGAATTGAAAATGTAAAACCAGGTAACTGGTTATTATTTTTTCGTAATAACCGGGTAGCAGGTTATTACGGAAAAATAATAACCTGGTAGCAGACTAGCAGGTTATTATTTTTCCGTAATAACCTGCTACCCGGTTATTATTTTTCCGTAATAACCTGCTACCCGTTTAGTATTTTCCTTAATAACCTTCAACCCCGTATTTTGCCCGGAGAAATCAAATACCACCGCCTGCTTTTAGATTGAAGGTTATTACGGAGGAGTTAAAAACCGACGAAATACAAAAGAATATTGTCTGATGAGTTTGTAAGTGAGGGTTAGGGTTTGGGCTGTTTCGAATCTGATGTTCTATTGAATTTCGAGGTCCCTGTAGCGGAAACGTGAATTTGTCACGGTCTAAAAATTGTATTTTTAGAATCTACTGTCCATATGCTTTCTATCGATGTCTTATTCGTGTATCAAAAAACAGTCCATGAAGATACACAGCAGGTTATTCCAGGTGCATAATCGAAAAAGACGTGAAAGTTAATATTATGCGGTTTCGAACCTTGCGTTCTATTGAATTTCAAGGTCCCTGCAGCAGAAACTGGAATTTGTCACGGTCTGAAAATTGTATTTTTAGAATCTACGGTCCATAGAATTTCTATCGATGCCTTACACGTATATCAAAAGACAGTCCATGACGATAAAAAGCAGGTTATTCCAGGTGCATAATCGAAAAAGACGTGAAAGTTAATATTATGCGGTTTCCAACCTGATGTTCTATTGACTTTCAAGGCCCTTGTAGCAGAGACTTGAATTTGGGCCAGCCTAAAAATTGTATTTCTAAAATGTACAATCCATAAGCTTTCTGCCGATGCCCCATTCGTGCATCACTAGGCCGGACGTGGAGATAAAAAGCAGTTTTTTCCAGGTGCATAATCGAAAAAGACGTGAAAGTTAATATTATATAAGTGAGGGTTAGGGTTTGGGCTGTTTCGAATCTGATGTTCTATTGAATTTCAAGGTCCCTGTAGCGGAAACGTGAATTTACGCCGGTCTGAAAATTATATTTTTAGAATCTACGGTCCATAAGCTTTCTATCGATGCCTTACTCGTGTATTAAAAGACAGTCCATGAAGATACAAAGCAGGTTATTCCAGGTGCATAATCGAAAATGACATGAAAGTTAATATTATGCGGTTTCGAACCTTGCGTTCTATTGAATTTCAAGGTCCCTGTAGCGGAAACGTGAATTTGTCACGGTCTGAAAATTGTATTTTTGGAATCTACGGCCCACGAGCTTTCTATCGATGCCTTATTCGTGTAGCACTAGACAGTCCATGAAGATAAAAGCAGGTTATTCCAGGTGCATAATCGAAAAAGACGTGAAAGTTAATATTATGCGGTTTCAAACCTGATGTTCTATCGACTTTCAAGGCCCTTGTAGCAGAGACTTGAATTTGGGCCAGCCTGAAAGTTGTATTTCTAGAATCTACGATTCATAAGCTTTCTATCGATGCCTCATTCGTGTATCACTAGGCCGGACGTGGAGATAAAAAGCAGTTTTTTCCAGGTGCATAATCGAAAAAGACGTGAAAGTTAATATTATATAAGTGAGGGTTAGGGTTTAGACTGTTTCGAATCTGATATTCTATTGAATTTCAAGGTCCCTGTAGCGGAAACGTGAATTTACGCCGGTCTGAAAATTGTATTTTTAGAATCTACGGTCCATAAGCTTTCTACCGATGCCTTACTCGTGTATCAAAACACATTCCATGAAGATACAAAACAGGTTATTCCAGGAG